CATTTAAAAATAACCTCAGTCATTTTGCTGATTCATGTTAACAGCATAGCATCAGCAGGTACCAGTGTTTTGGCAGCAATGTAAATTCATGCTAATTTTCTTTGAGATCATTCCTATAAAAGCAGAAATGGAAGCCAGTGCCAGAATGATTGTCACATAAGTGCAACAATTTATTCACTTAGAGAAAGATAAAGTCACTTATTAGCCCATTTCTGGAATTTTGATTAGTACTAAGAAAGAAAGGCTTTGACAATTCATGTATCCAAACATCTAGCCCGTTACATTGTAATCCTCTCCTGAACCACCTAAATCCTAGCATCCGCCACAAAAACAGCTCCAGAGCGGATAGGGGTGCGGTGCGTGCCCCGCAGCCGATTGCCCCGGGGGGGTGCCCAGCCGCCGGGCAGCCCCCCGGCCGCAGCCCTGCATCGCCGGCAGCAGCGCCCTGCGGGGACACCCTCTGCAGCCGCAGCAGCGCAGCTCCTCAGCTCCCTGTTCTAGTTCTATTCTGCCTCCATTTTCTTTCTTCTCAAGCACGAATACTTCGAGACACAAAACAAGTCTGGCAGCCAACTAAAATTAACCACTCCAAACATATAAAGAGCTGAAATGACTCCACTCAATAGCTATTCCAGCTATCACAGTCTCCAACAGCTGAAGAATCGTATTTATAGGATGTTCCTAAATGTGAATACCAGACTACTTGAGGTTTTAAACAAAATTAATTCCTAGGCACTTAGTGATGGTGCTCTGATACTAGCTGAGAAATCTGGTCTTGACTTCTTGGCTCTTTTATCTTTCTTTCATTTTAAGTGACAGGTTTTGCTCCAGTACCTACATCTTCTTACTTGACAAATTTTGATGAACTGCAGTTTTCAGTAAAACAGTGCTAAAACCACGCCCTTTAAGATTTTGTCAGCAACTCCACAATCTCGCATTGCAAGCTACTAGGTGTGATATAAGATGGGTTTAGATCTGCTTTAACAAAGGCAATGGGACTATACACCACTCTAGCGAAGTATGGAGCTGTGGGTATTGATGACCACAATTCCCAGATCTAAAAACTCTCTACAGGATACTAAGAGTCCTAAACAGTACCTTCTGAAATGGTAACTTTCAGAATGAAAGCTGTTAAGGCTTTTTGGGGTCATGACAGTTTCAGGGAACAATGACCTTCTTTGAGAAGCCTGAAGGATGCAAGCCCACTGCTGCTGCTGATGCAAGTGGCTGCCCAGGGGACACCAAACATGTCTTGCACTTTGTCAAGGTCCCCCCGGCCACAGATAGGGTGGCAAAAATAAAGTCTTGTGCACAGATAAGGAAGCCAATGCAGTCACAAACTGCTGACTTATGGGCAACAGGATACCTCCTGGTACTACTCAGATAGGAAACACGTCTTCCACAGATACATGTTCTTCATAACAATAAGACAAAGTAGACACAGTGCATTGTTTGAGTGGTATTTCTTAGAAGGTTATGGGTGACTAGGTACTGAACAGCTGTTTAAATAAAATAGATTTAATCTAGACAAGGGCTTGAATACGCACCAATACAACAGTCAGCTGTCCCCAGGTGGAAGGTGAGGGACAAAGCATCAGGTGTGGAAGTCTTGCAGAAGGGCCCACAATGGCTTCACTGAGCCCTACCCCCACCCCAAAACCCCATTTACTCGGTCTTTTGTGAAGCTGTTTTATGCAGCTGAAACTTTTTTCTTTTTTTAATGAAGAAAAGATTAGTAGGTACAGCTGCAATTTCAGCAGAACTCTTTCCAAGACCCTCCACTTGATCCGTCTCACTAACAGATACACAGTTCTTTTTCCAGCCCATACATACAATTAATTGTTTGAATTTTTTGTCCTTGTGATGTTGACATAAAATGGAAGTTATCAGTACAAGACAGAGAAAAGAGACACAAGCACTGGAGTACCCATTTTAAGTCATGTTGCCTGTTGTCTTGGCAACCAGTTAATAAGCTCTGGTACTCATTTTTCACCAGCACCTGACAACAACATCTCTGCAAGATTTGGTATTATTAAGGAGTCTGCTAACTCAGCTGCTTTACAAGGTATCAAAAGAGATCTGCTGGCATTTCCATTCTGAATCCTGTTTTTCAGGAATCATAAATCATCCACAAATTGCCCAGCAGTTGAATATAGGACACACAAATACCACTGTGACAATCCATTCCCATGGAAAGAACAGAGGAAAAGTGTTGGGATCCAGTCACGCTCCCTGCAGTATCAATATGTACATTGCTATTCACTACACAGAGAGAAGGATTAGACCTCAAAAGTACATAAATCTTTGACAGACATCCTCTTGCATGTCTCTCCTTTGATAATGCAGGCATATGGCATGGGGACAGGGTTGGCCCCATTTCCTCCAAGCTTCTGTTTGGAGAAAGAGTCCTACCCTTCACATTGCTGCTGTGCGTATCCTCGAGCTGCTTTGAGAAGCACACAAGCATGTACTGAGCCAGCACTGCAATTACCATAATTAAACATTATAATCAAATAGGCTTCAGTCAGCAGTCAGACCTGGCTACACAAGGAGCTGTGCAGACACACTAGATGTCTCTACCCTTCCTCAAGAGTAAACTGTCCCTATATGTGAGCCACACAAAGAGTTCAGTCTCTAAGAACTAAAAAAAAGGCTGTTTAATTACATCTCACAGACTACCCTATCACTTTGGATGACTACTTTCCTTGGACAAAAGGTCACCTAGTTACACAAATTCTGCAGAGTTTCTGAGTTTGGGACCATAAAGGAATACGCACAATCATCTTCTTGGTATGAACATTAACCAATTCATTGGTTAAACACTCTAAATTCAATATTTGGGTGTTGTAACAGAAATCAAACTTTTCTGAAATTTTATTAGTAAATGGCAAAAAAAAAAACCTTCTCCCCAACAAACAGTAGAGAGGATACAAAGAAGCCTCATGCAGATTCATCCTCAGAGAACCACAGAGAGAAACTAAAATAAGTGATCCTCTGACCTGTGCATCAGGATTCGGGAGGTGTCAGCGGGCCTCTCCACAAAATTTTAGACACAAAATTGGTCAAGAGAGATAGCTTTATTTCTGAATGTTCTTTTTATCCAAGTTTCAGACTCCCTTAATGCTCTTTCAAAATAGAATTTGGCAGTTTATTGTTTAAAGATTGAGCAGTGGTGAAAACCACATTCATTACTGCTTGTCATAGAGATGTTGATGAATTCCAGTCCCATGCAATTAAGCTGTAATTCAACACAATGACAGACTAAACAGGCAAGTCTAGACAAACAAGAAAAAAATCAACCAAAAATACAATTCCTAGAGAAAAATTCCTAGAGGATTCTATAATCTTTCTGCTTAAAAAAGGGGTGCATAATCTTATTTTATTCATCATATGAAAGCAGAGCATTTGCTTTATTTTAATTCATGCAATGGTATCAGGTTGTATCATCTAAACAAGTCAGCAAAAAATATTAGACACACTGGAATATTTTTACTAAAGGACAACCACAGGATATTTTTTCTCCTTAAAGCTTTAAAGTAAAACACACACATGTTAAAAATGGGGTGCCTTGCATCTTGCATTGCTTAAAGATAAATTCTGCTAATTTCACTTATCGAAATAGTCTCTCCATAAAACAGAGGTACTAGTGCCACTGAGAAGCTGAATTGGCTTCGTGACATTTATACTGAAATGAAAGACATGTATTGTAGGCCTGAGTTTACTTCCATGTAAATCAGGAACTACATTCCTTGACTCTAAATCTTCACACTGGATATTGTTGTATTGGTTCTGTTGGTTTTCAAACCAGGGGAAGAATCATAGAGGTTCAAGTTTTTTTCCTTAACTCTGTCAATCTTTTTCTCTCTATAGATACGGGGAGATACAGCAAAATCTGCTATAACCTATGCTGCAAGAGGAAGAATTAGTTACATAAGACATTTTGGTACATTATTGGAAACCATCAGGTCAATGCTGTTATGTTAGCAAGACAGGATTTCTTTGTCAACAGTGTATAGCAACTGACCATAGGAATGTGATGTAGTAGCACAATGCAACATTTCACAGCCCTTTTTCACCACACTTAAGAGATGTTCCTGAAGCTGAAATTTATAGCACCCTTCACTACTAGGTTTTACTAGTCAATGTGCACATGGCCACCATGATTTCACCAATGCAAGCAATCTCTGCTCCTTTGATAAGGTTATGTGGTTTCATGTGAGAACCATCATTAATTTCACCCAACATTTGTGTTAAAGTAATGACATGTTGGAAAACTTATCAAACCCTTGATTCCCATGCAAGCAGAACAAAACCAACTTTTACATTTCACAAAATTGGAATTTTTTGTTTTGTTTTGCTTTATTGTATGAATCCTCTAAAGGAAGAATGGGCTTGAAGAAAAGGCAGCAAAGACATTTAGTCTTATGAGTCCTGTAAATTTCTAATTTCCTCATACAAGCCAAAGCAAGTTTCTGTGAATCAAGGTAGATTCCATCCCTCGGCTTTTCATACCAAGAAAATTCCAAGTGCTTTGGGAAGAAACACAGAGCTTGGTCCACACTTGTGCAACAGCCGTGACACTAGTTCTGGCTCTATCAAACTCTAGAGCTAACCTTTCGGGTTATTTTCTTTTTTGTATGTGCTCTACCTACCAAAAGAAGCTTTAGTCTCTGGGACTACTAGATTGGTGCTACATAAACAAACTGTTAGTCAAAAAGTAAGTTTTACCTAACTTTAATGTGGCCCTTAAACTAACATCTCCTACCAAAGTTATCATGGTGATATACATGAAGCTAACCTAAAAGGCTGATTATTAAAGTTAAGTTGCGAGAAAGTGAAAAAAATATTGTAATTTCCAAGCCATATTTTGAAATAAAGGAAACAGATTATTCATTGTAAAGAAACATAAATGAAAGTGGGCCATAAAACTCCAGTGTGATTATTAATTCTGACCTCAAAAAAAAACAAGCAGCTTTTGCAAAACACTTGCAAAAACTTACCTCGAACTTCAGGAGAGAATCGAGCTGAATGGCGAGACACAAAAAGTTTCAGTTCTTGATCCAGGTTGCATTCAATCAAGTTTGTGTCCCATGATCGGATTCCTAAAATTCAACATACAAAACACATGTAGCTTAATATATGATCACTGGAAGTTTTAACTGAGTATTTCTCCATTTGCATTCATGCTATTTGCATATTTCTAAATTCCAAACCCTGCCTCTCTTCCTTTCAAGGCACACAGCTATTTTTTGAATAGTGCTGAGAAAGCGCTCTGGACAGAAACCAGTCACAAGCAAGAAGAAATCTACCTTTCCAAAGGATGATCATCCTTTAAGGCCCCAGCTTTAGAACTGCTGGTTCCACATCCTAGTAGCCACATTACAAGAAGCTACTGATGACCCTGAATTGACTTTAAAATAAGAATACACTGATTTACTGTTCTAGTTTTGACCAGGATAAAACTGATTTTGTCTTCTTAGTAGCTAGAATAGTGCTGTTTTGGATTCGAGTAGGCGTTTTGGTGTGAGAATAATGTTGATAATACACTGATGTTTTCAGCTGTTGCTAAGAGATCAAGGACTTTTCAACTTCCCCTGTCCTACCCGTGCACAGGTACACAAAAAGCTGGGAGGGAGCATGGCCGGACCAACGTGCCCAAATTGGCCAACAGAATATTCCATATCATGTAATGTCATGCTCAGTAGATGGATGAGAGTTGACCACGAAACTCCCTCTTACTTCTGGAATTGCAATCTCAGGATTCTCGTTTCTCTGGGATGGCTAACTGGAAAGGGGCTGGGTATCAGTCAGCAGGTGGTGATCAATCATGCATTACACATTTGTATTTTCTATTATTACTATTATTATTAGAATTATTATTATTTTAATTTTATTTAAATGATTTAACTGTTTTAATCTCAACCTACAAGTCTCCTTTTACCCCTCCAATTCTCTCCCCCATTCCCCAGGGTGGGGGAGGGTGATCAAGGGTGTGGTGTTTGTCGGCCTGCCAGGTTCAAACCACCACATTTACAAAACTGAAAGAGTGAATAATTCAGAGGACACTTTAATCACCTTGAAGGACCACTGTACTTGTCCCTCTGAGAAAAAAAAAAAAAGAGACAGCATCAACTAGCATGTTGCAAATTAATATGTAAATACAAAGTATTCATGTGCTGACTCCTTCATTCAAAAGCTTTGAAGCATCCCATATTGTAAATTAAAATTTAAGTGATCTTTTATTTATGAGGTATCAAAATCTGAGTTTTGATATTTTAAAATGTTATGCTTGATTTCTTTTTCTTTTAAAAACTACCATTTTTCCCCCTGGCTACTTAGAAAGTAAGACACTTGACATGTATATGATCAAAAAATGTATTATTTCAAACTATATTTTTAAGGGTTGAAATTTGACTGGGGAAGAAAAAAAAAAATGCTGCCAAAAGACAAATTTATAGTTTCCTTCCATAAAATCTTGATGACTAAATGAAAAAAAACAACAACAACCAAAAAACAAAAACAAACAAACAAACAAACAAACAAAAAACAAACAAAAAAATGACAAAACAAAACCCCAACCAACCAAAAACAACCAACCAAAAAACAAAACAGAAGAACATGCTTAACATTTTCCTATAATTTTCTTGTTTTGAAATTGTTCTGAAAAATCTTCTAGTTTTGAAAAATAATGAGCAGGCTGTTGCACTACGTGTAAGTCCAGGCACTGCTGCAATTTTGAACACCAATGTTACAACGTTCCTAAATGAACATTGTTAGACTTAGACAAGTTAGCTAGCAAATGCAGAAGTGACTGCAGGCAAGGAAGTGCCTGGTGGGCCTCCCCACACGCCTGACAGTGCCTTTGTGTGAAATTGTTGAGTTAAACCACTTTGGGGTTTGGCGAGGAGGTGCCTGAAGAGGTGTGTGGCCAACCCCTCATTAGGAGACTAACACTAACACTCTTGCTGGTAACTCTGTCAGGGTTTCAAGCTGTGAATGTTACTGTCAATGCTACCTCCCATGCTGGACTCCCTTTCAAGGCAGCAGAAATGTCAGGACTCGTGCTGGCAGAAGCCATGTTGTAGGGCTGAAGGATGAGTAGGAGCATGAGGGGGAAGAGCAGAGAAACCAGAACTGTCGTTCCCGTCTCCCACTGCAGCTCTGGGTAGGTTCTCCATGCAAATATAAACATCTGCATTTCAAGAGCCTGAAGCCTCTTCAGGGAAAATTCATCCAGGGCTTTTCCTTCTCAGCATCCCAGTCCAGGTAGAAGCATGCTTACTACTGGGCTATGCTACCAGTTATCAAGTAGCTGCCATTTGAAACGCTAAATAAATTTGGAAATATAGTATTGCCTGTGTTTCATAACCACTCAGGAGAAAAATAACTGAGCTATAACCAGCCACCTCCACTTCCTGACTGATGCATCGCTGTTCAGAGGCATAAGCACTGAATGTCTTCTGTAAGTTTCCTTATTTTCATTTCTCAAAAATCTCTTGGCCATATGGTACTTTTTTGGGGCATAGTTTTGGCAGACAAATACAGCTTAGCAGACTTTAATGTTTTCCAGGTGTTGAAATATTTGAGATCAAGAAAGTAAAGATGATAATACCACGCACATACAGCACATATGAGAACTATGACTAGTAAACCAACATCAATCATGAAGCTGAAGTACATTGAGTGAATGAGTGCTGAAATTTAAGAAGCTAGAAGATAAACAGCTCACTGGCCCATGACAGCAAGCCTGTGTGGGGAGACTACAAAGCTTTCTGGAGGTCAGTTAGGCAATATGGACTATGATTCAGCAATGCTGCTAATGACAGGGCCTGTCCACCACCCCTAGCTGCTTTTGTCGTGAATTCAAATTTGCTGTAGGGATAAGATTCTGATTAGGCGTAGTCAAGACTGCTGAGCCAGGCAATGTCTAATATACAGGACTCAACACAAAATAAGTAGCAAAAAAAACAACAATAAAAAAAAAAAAAAAGCCAAGACATCCCATAGACACAGTAGTCCTAGAAGCTGAAGCTGGGATTTGGATATAATATCCCAAATCTGCAGCTGCATGATTCAGCAGTCTGGCTGCAAAAATTATGCCTATACGTTATAAAGCAGCATAATGTATTATATACATTATATAATCAAATCAGGTTTGGGTAGAACAGAGGTAAATCTGGAACTAAAATTCGAGAGCAATCCAATGATGTAGATCATTAACAGCATGGACATAACTACTGGAAGCATGGCTGAACTGGAGCTGTTTCTTTCTGCAGTCTTAGGAGAGCAATGCTCTAGAGACATGACTAGTCAGACAGCAGGCAGGGCACACCCAGCAGGGCATCTGCCAAATCCGTGGCAAAATGATGAAGCTTTCTCTTCCCTCTTCTTTTTTGGTGGATGGTGGGTTGGAGGATAATCCTCTTAGCAAAGTCACATCCCAAATGTAATTACCGAAAGTGCATCTCACCACGCCATTCCCTCTTCATGATATATTAAGAAATGACTCTGCATTCCACCAGGTTGCGTAGCATCACGCCACTGATGTGTTATCAGCAGATGTTTTCTTTGACACGTTGCTCTGCAGTTTGGCGCATGAATCCACACTTTTCAGTGATGGTTCTCGGGAGATGTACCAGAGAAGACACTGAAGCAGAGTTATCAAGAACCCCAAATGCATTTAAGGCTGTGTTGAGAATAAAGGTTGAAAGAAGTGGGTGTTTCCAGAGAACAGCACACTTTCCAAAGGGAAAGAGATCAGTCAAGCCCATATTTGCCTCATGTAGATAGAGCTTCAGACTCCCAGTGTACTCATTCAGAACAATGCACCTCAAAATTTGATCACCTTTTTTTCCTAGCAGGCAAAATCTCAGTCAGATCATCTGACACGAGGACCAGTGAGGTGACTTCTAATCCAAAATGCTGAACAAAAAGACCGAAGCGTTCCCTCTGAACATCTAAAATTGTAAGTGGGTGCTATGCTTAGTGGCAGGAGATAGCAGCAACAGAGCTATGCAGCAGCAACTGTACAATAGAAGCTTCAAGAAGAGACTGAAGAGCGTTTCTTCAGAGGAAGGATGACATCAGCTGTCTTGAGGGCAGAAGTTTTATCCATTTGCTCTATAATTTCTAATAATTTAATTAAAATGCAGCTAATTCACTTCTGACATAACAGAAAATTAGATAGAATTAGGCAAGTGCTGAAGAGGCTCTGAATGACAAAGCATCTGCCTCAGTAGTTCTCCCTAGGAGACAATGGTAGCAATAAAGATGAACAGGTCATGGTGAAGCTGGTTAGCTGTGATAAGGCAGCCCTTTACTACAAACAGTCATGAAAAATAACCAAGAGAAATAGCCAACTAAAGCAACAATGCTTGAGAAAGCAACAATAGAGACAAATGAAGTCCTAGCTGGACTGCTGAACCACACCTACATGACAAGGCTGCTAACAGTTCCCCGTTCCAGGGTTTCTTTCTCCGCTCTAACAATGGCAGGTTTCTGAAATGTCTGCGTTCAACAATCCAGAACAAAAATATATGGTACAAAATCAAGTATCAATTGAGTTTAACAAACTAAGGGGTCCAGCAATAATGTTCTTTGTGCTCCATACCACTGTTACTGCAACGGGGCTTTTTTTTTTTTTTTTTTTTTTTTCTCCTCTCTGCATGTACACTGCAATCTATTGTATCAGAAACCACTCCGAGAACTTATAAAACTGTCATTTCACTTGGAATACCTTCCTGTACGGCCGTCTTAAGAAAAGGACAAATAAACAGCGAGTGAAAGCAGCAGCCCTTGGCTGGACAATAATGAGGCTGAGCACTCGGGTATTAGCCTTGTTACCCATATGGTTTTTCTTTATTGAAATATATACAACGCTCATATAAAGATTGGGTGCTGAAAAAAATTCCCCAGGCAAGAGAAAAGTCTCACCGCCCAAAGTTAGACACAAAGGCAGCACGGCTGCGCTCCCACTCGGGCAGCCTTTGCCGCCCGGGAGGAAAACGCCCCGAAATCCCGGCCGGTTTGGGTTTGCGCCGGGGGACACAGGGTTTTGCGGGGAGCAGCCGCCCCGCAGCCCCATCCCCATCGCCATCCCCCCGCCGCCCTTTGTCCGCTCCGGGCTGCCATAGGGACCGCAGTGCGGACTGCGCCACGCCCACCCGCCGGTGTCTCCGGGCAGACGGGCTCGGCGGCGGCGGCACGGCGGGGCGATGGGGCGGCGGGGCGGTGGGCTCCCGCCCCGGCCCGGGCGGCGGGCAGCGGGCCGGGTTGGCCCGGCGGCGGGACGGTCTCTGCGCGGGCGGTGGCGAGGCCCGGCCCCGCAGCCCTCGCACCCCAACGGGGGAGGGTGGGAGAGGGGGGGAGAGTGGGGTGGGGTGGGGGTGGGGGGGGCGCGGCGGGACCCTCGCGGAATAAAGAGCCGGAGACTGCGGCTTGGCGGCTCGTGTGTCCGTGCCCTGCGTGGGGTGGGGGTGAGCCCCGGCCGCGTCCGAGCAGGGAGAAGGCGCCGGCGGGGCGGGGCGGGGTGCCGCGGCGCTGCCTGCGGTGTCCCCGCTCCCCGCCGCCTCACCTCGCTCGATGTTGGCGATGGCCCGCCGCAGGTGCTCCTCGGTCACCAGCTCGCCGATGACCACCAGCAGGTAGAACTTGCTGTCCAGGAAGCGGTGGGAGAGGCTGGGCGAGGGGGAGGTGGGGTTGGGGATGCTGCAGGAGGGCTCCGAGTCCACTTCCACCACCACGGTGGCCATCGCCGCCGCCCCGCTCCGCCCCGCGGCTCCGGGGCGCTGAGGGGAGAAGGGCCGCTCGGCGGCGGCTCCGCAGGCGGCAGGGAGGGAGTGAGGGCGGGCGGGGAGGCGGCGGCGCTTTTATACGGAGACGGTGCAGGGCAGGGACCTGGCGAGGAGGAGAAGGAGGAGGAGGAGGAGGGGGAGGAGGAGGAAGGGGGGGAGCCGGCGCATCCCCGCGCCGCCGCCGCCGCGTTTCCAGCATCCACAGCTGATGTCATCTGCGGCAAATCCTCCCCGCGGCGGCCCCCGGAAGCAGGAAGGACGCGGGGGGCGAACAACGCCCCGCGGGGGGGACGCCAAGGGGTGCGCCCCAACCCCGGCCCCGGCCCCGGGACCCTCCGGCCGGCGCCGGTCCCACTCCCCTCGGTCGTCCCGCGTCCCGGGGCCCTCCCGGGGCGTCACCCCGCCGGGCGGGTCGGGCGCGGCGTCGGGCTCTGCTGCCGCGGCTCCCCGAGAGCCTCCCGCCGCCCCGGCCTGGGAGCACGGCGGTGAGGAGCCGCAGCGGGTGCCCGGGCAGACCTGGGGAGCTCATCCGGGAAAATCCGGCATCGGGGCTCCAGCTGCACCCCTGACGCCGACGGGTGAGAAAGCAGCGCCGCTGCCCGAGGCCAAGGGTCCTGTCTCCTGCATCTCGCTGTAGCACTGCAGCAAAATTTGAGTCATACCTCCCAGACACGCACAGCCGGCGATCTGAAAATTCCTGCTACCCTTTTTTCATTTGAAAACAGTTCACTAAATAAGATAACTTCAAACATAGCTTTTCTACACTTATTCAAAGCCCATGAGTATATGACTTACACCAGAAAAGCGCTGGTTTTGGAAAAGCTGCCAAACCCCATACTCTTAAGGCTCCAGAAGTTCATAGGGTTCTGGGCAACTAATTTTGACCAGGCTCAAGAAACTCCAGGGAGGAATGGTATCAGAAAACATCTACAATTACAAAACCGACAATTTCATTCCTCTCCACATGCAAGTTAGACATCTCCTCAACACTCACTGAGACCCACTCAAAAGATAATCACCTCCTAAAACTGTTTTATCTTCTCCTAAAATGGGTTGGAGCAGTCAGATAAATCAGCCTCCCTGAGATGTTTCTCTCACTGTACTGACAGAAGCAAGGCACCGGTTTATACTAAGCCCCTTGTTTATATGGCTAAAGTGATGTGGGAGAAATCTCACTGTGACCTAAAAAAAGATATAAACTTTTATAGCCTGGATTTTAAGATAACCTCTGATCCCTGACTCAGAAGACACTTCCTCTGTGTGCAGCTCCTTCCAGTACTGACTGCTCATATCCACTGCCTGCTGCTCAGAAACAGAGTGCTTTCTTGAATGAACCAATACATTAGTCTTGTTTTCTTAGACTGTGTACTTTGTTTCAGGGCACACTGGACTCTTTCTACAACATGCATTTCAGGTCGTCACCACTAAGTTATTTGTCTTACTTGCCCAGAAGCACCCACAAAGCTAGAAGCACCATTGTTGTAGGTGCTGGTCCATAATGTTATATCTGCCTATAGCACCTAGTGTTTTCAATATGAATAGTTCCTCTCCATAAATACAGCACTGAGAGCCTTGGCTAATAGGGCATGATGTGTTTGGATGTTTCATCCAAAGTAGATTTTTTGTCTGAGTTGCTGTTAGTTTGAAGGCTGTAGAGTGCAGACAAGCATTTTTACAGCCATGTCAGGTGGCTGAGATGACACAGTGTTAAAGAGCAATGGTGTTCATCCTTCACTAGAGCTGACACAGTTGATAGAACAAATGCAATGGCATAGATCCAGAAGAACAAGCAACAGTTCCTCTAAAGTTTGTGAGGTATTCATAGGTACAGAGTGCTCTTTGGGTACCCCTGTTCATATGAGCCCAGCTGTGACTTTGGTGTTTTCTTGCTGATCCTGGCAGTTTCCATGCAGTAGTATAGATACCTACCTAGAAATAATGTCCGCTCCCCAGTGGCCATGTCCTATAAGACCCCCACCCTAATAATCTATTCTAATTATAGATACCCTCAAGACTTGCCACATGGTGCCCACTGGAGAAAGGCAGCTTCTGGTTTCTCCCACTGCAACACGTAACCTTGGGATATACCTGTATTTCAATCACCAACAAGAGCAGCTTGTCTCTGGAGCATGGAAGGGTCTTGCCGAGGGGACTTGCTGACAGGTTGCAGAATAGACTGGTAGTGGTTCCCGGACATAGAGATAAAACAGTTACTTGCCTCACAAGCACAGCAGGTTAAACGCATTACTCTGATAAATACACACCAGTACTCAAAATGCATTATATGTGCTTTTTAGCACATTTTTTATTTTAAGAAAAAATTAAGACATAGGTAACTAGAGAAATGCCTGTGAATTTGAAAAGTAAGAGATAAAAAGAATGTATTGTATCAAAGAAAATGCCTACATACAAGTAGGTAATACAGAAGTTTGAAATAGCATGCTGAGGTAATCCTCTATTTTATATTGCGCTGTAAAATAATATGCAGCTAGAAAAATAGAAAGGTGAACTGTTAGAGTCAAACTGTCTTGTGATGGGAGATGTGTCACACATTAAAACCCTAAGGACAAGAGACAGCCTTTGGAATAAAATGGTCTTGAGCTAAACTCCTCGAGGGACGCAGACCTCTACCCTCATCTATTCACAAACATATGCTTCTTCATCTGAGGTGGAAGTTGGACAAGAAAAGATGCTTTAACCTCCTGGATGTGACTCTGAGGAAGATGCAGGTTCCCATCTCTATGGTCAGTGTTCATGCTGTGACTTGCCCTGTTGGTATATCACTCGGGTAATTTTGTTTGTCATCATTTTTCTCTATCTGGAAACCCATTTATATTCCGCAATATGGAGCATACCAACAGATTCGCTCCTGGGTGAAGTGTAGAGATGTGCTGTATAAAGCTGACTCAGTGTCATGTGACCCTCACCGTCTGAAAACAATACCAGCTTCCTAGCTGCAGCTAAATCACATAGATATGCCACTTCAGAAGAAGAAACAGCAAATCTCATGCGGACTGTGGAATATGTCTTGCTGTTTTAAAGAGACAGTGATTGATACCCACTGATGCCTGGCTTTCTTTTGCTTTGTTTTGGTTTGGTTTTGTTCCTTTAGTATGTTCTGTACCAAATTGGTGTCCCCCAACTGAATATAGTCAAACATTATATGTACAGCTGTATTTTTCTTGCGGATCTGGTATTTTTTAAAATAAACAGGCAGTTTTAAATAAAGCACTTGAAGTCTAAAACTAGAACATACTTCTTGGTAGTGTGTGCCATTTGTTACCCACTAATATTCAGGTTTCATTCAAGTCCTATCTTCAAGTTTTCAATGAGGTTTCAGTGATGCACAAATGCTTAGGCTGGCCCTTTGTCTGAGGCCAAATGTCACCCCTACCATAAAAGAAATTCTTATCCCTGTGCATTACTTCAGAACAATTTAAGAACTTTACCGAAAGTGAAGTGGTTCAGAAGGCTGTCTTCAGTGAGAGAAATGCCAGTCCGGAGACTGCACAATGTGCCATGGAGCGGGTAGTTTTTCATGAAGTGGGTAGGTTTTCATAAGGAGAGGCAGTAAGGCATAACATATTTTAGAGACGAAGCTTTGCCAGCCTACACCAGAGGGGACAGAATCACAGAATGCCTGAGTTTGGAAGGGACCTCTGGAGGTCATCTTGTCTAATCCTCCTGCTCAAGTAGCACCGCCTACAGTAGGCTGCTCAGAGCTGTGTTCAGCCGGGTTTGAGTATCTCCATGGATGGAGACTCCAGCACCTCTCTGGACAACCTGTGCGAGTGCTCTGTCACCCCCACAGTGAAAAAGTGTTTCCTCATGCACGGTGAAGTCAAGAATATGCCACGAATATTACAGCAAATAATACCCATAACATTTTGTACCTTATCTGATGCCTTCCCAACATGACCTACTGTCACTCTCAATGCTCCCACTCCCCCATGTGTGACCCCGCATTTCCTTCAGTCCACCAACCCCACATGGTCCAGCCTTCACCTCTCAGGGTCTCCTCTGCGCGTTGGTCCTCACGAGCAACTCAGCAGAGCACAGCAGTGCGGGCACAGAGGGGCGGTCAGCACATCGCCCTGGCCCCAGCAGAGCAGAGGCATCATCCTGCAGCCACTGGCCACCATGTGATCAGTCAGAACTCCTGCACGTCCCTGACAGAACCTGGCTGTGTGGTTCCTAAAGACAACACCTCTTGCCTTCCCCCATTTTTTTTAGGCAGGGAGGCATCCTCATCCCTAACATCCTCAGGCTAGCGCTGCTGGAGGAGCTTCTCCTGCAGCAGTGATATGGCAAAGGCCAGGGGCACAGAGAGAGCTGCACCTGAGTGAGCAGCCAGGGACTTAGACTCCGGGAATGACTCTTTGAGAGGGGAAACATTTACTTGACATGTTAAGATGGCAAGCTTTATGTTTAACTGCATGAAAAATAAAAACGATTTGTCTGACATTCGTTTCAAGTTTGTTAAATTATATTACTTCAATTTTAATTAATATTTTTAAATAGCAAAAGAAATAAAGTTTTTATTTGCTTGTGGTGAAACATCCACTTCAGCTGGTATTTCAGATGTTTCCCACTCCTCCCACTTTCCCCATAGAAAAAGGGGAGTTAAATATGAAAGAAAAAATAAGTGAGGAAAGCAACACTGTTGCTTTTAAAAATAACATTTTCTCTCACATTCAGCTCTCTTGAAGTGAGAGAATAATAACACCAAGTAACATTTTGTGTTAGTTCCCAATGGAAAAAGCTAATTTTTATTTATTTTTTTTTTTTAATCAGAGTAATTTCCCTCTTTGTTCAGTGGAAAAAGAAGTTTGAAGTAAAAAAAGGGAAAAATACTTTATTTAACTTGAGTGAGAATGAAATGAAAAAAAAAAAAAAAGGGAGATTTCCTCTTGTCTGTTAAAAAAGACAATTTAGAAATTAATGACTTTTAATAAAATTATCCTGAAATTTGC